ATAGCAATCCCTCTTAAAAATTACATAATCACTTATGACATACCTCATTTACTTTTTTGTACTAGAAAATGATTATATCCGCTGCTTTGACCGTTGACAACGTTAAAAAGTCGTGTAAAAAGTTTTTTGTAAATTCGCTTAATCCCCCTGCATATTTTTAACTTTCATAATAAAAGCAATGTTAACAGATTTTAGCATGACCTTCTTCTTCGCACGAAAAAATATAGAAAAATATGTGAAAATGGTATCCTATTCGTTGTAATACTAAAATATGAGCATTATGTAGGATCCTGTGTATGTTACTCACATGTAATATGTGTTAAAAACGATTATAGTAAAACAAGCTTAAGGCATGAATTATACGGAGACTTCAACAAGTAAAAAGTACAAATAAAAATAATTTAATTTTAGATTAAGAAACTCGTCTACAAAATTTCTTGATCTAAAATTAAATTCATAAATTTTACATACAAGAATAAATTAATAAATTTATCCAATTGAGTGAAATATAATAAACACACCAATTAATTATCTTCATAAAGATTTTAGCTGTAAATCAGATCTCCGTTTAATACAGGCTTTAAATAATACATATATAATATATATAATATATATTATACATATATCTGGCTAATATTTCATATACATATAAAAAACCTATACAATCCGTAGACGATAATTTTATATTAGCTGCCGACGGAATTTAGTTCTTTTTGTTTTTCCTAATAATCTGACAATAATATTTTTCTCAATTCTTCTTGTCAATATTTATATCGATAAATCTGGCAGATGCGAAGATTATGCTAGTTAGTTAAATTTGTCAAGTGTGCACAGATTTCATTCATTACCATAAATTTAAAACATTACTTTGTTTTATTTTAAAAAATAACTTGAATTTAAATAACGAATTCGATTAGATGCATACAGGTCAAAATCTGTATGCTAATTTATCAAAATGTGATATAAGCGACTTTGAGCGATAAAACATCCAAATGTATCAAATAATGAGATTTAATTTGTATCAATCATCCAACATATCAGTGTCATAATATGTATATATTACGCATACTTTTATGTTATTTTGCATACAATAATCTTTATATGCACTACTCGAAATCGCTATATATATTATTTTTTATAAATAAGCGGCAGATTCAGATAAATCATAAATCATAAAAGCAAATGCTAGTAGAAAAATTAATAATTTGCGGCGCAATTCCAATAAAATGTCGTAATTTTAGTCATTATTCGTATTTGTAATTCTTAGTTTTTAACAATTTTATTTTGCATGTCAGCCTAGACAGGTTAAAGGTTCGTACTGATTCTATTTTCTATTTCATTTCTATCGGATTATAAAATTTTGTTACAGTAGAAAAACCTGCATGTTAATATCAGTCAAATAAATTCCTGCTATGTGCGTGAGCAATCTCATTAAAGATTACTTCATAAATAAAACATTTTCATAAAAACTTTTTACATAATTTTAGAGACATTTCTTATGTCCTTAATTTAAGCGCAGTTAAATCAAGAGATTAAACCATGACAACAATATATAATCATTTGTTATAATAAAAAATAAAATAATTATTAAGAATTGAACTTAGCATCCAGTTTACTTATGGCAAATTCAATTGCAGTAATACTAGTGCAGATTCAATTCTGTTGTACATAAATGTAAAAGCAATCTTTCTTTTAGATTGATGAAATACTTAGTTTATAGAAACATGAATTATTTTATATAAATAATTTCAATAATGCTTTTATAAAATTATATATGTTTTTACATTATACATGTATAACAGTCTTTACTTATGCACTAGTGTGGATATTATTTTTTCAACCAAATCTATTATTAGATATTTTCAAAAGAATGCAAATTTCTCATGCACACGAAAAACTTACTGCCAAATTTATTTGTTTTTTTATTCTCTTTTATTTTCCATTTTTAATTAAAAAAAATTTTTAACAAAAAAAAAAAACATTTAATGAAATAAAAGTTAGTTTTGTTATATTTAAAAAAGTCAAAATATTAAAATAAATAAGAAATGTTAAAGCAAAATTTATCATGGTCTTCTTTATATTAAAAATGTGACATACAAAAATATAAGAATTGCAGCATTTCTAGGTATATCGCTGGGAGTACCAATACTGCATTTGTGTTTGTGTAATTCCGTTTTTTGAATGACATTGATGCATTCATGCTGATTGTATTAAGTCATATACTTAAATTTAATAAACATGTAGATTTAACAATAAAAATAGGACAATTGTGACAAGCTTATATGTCAACCTCCAATCAATCAGTATAATTTGTATCACAATAAATATATCATCTGCTTGATAAAGACGATATATTCATTACCTGCATAATAAATCAAAATGATAACTTAAGTAATATATGACCTGTCCTGTATATATAGTCTCATATTGATACACATTAATGTGATTTATATCGATGTTATTATCTTTCCAGAAATAACAAAATCACAATTGATGCTCGACAACTCTGATGACAAATGGTACTCGTACGAATCAATTTCTTGATAAAAATTGACATTACAAGTCACATCTAAATATCAATTGCAGCGATGATAACATTTATTATGATGTTTATCAGGAACGTTTATATAGGATGAAACAAAGGCGATGCAGAATTGTTCGCGATTCGTCTCTAATATATTTGTGTTTTTGTAATAATATCAAATATGTAAGTACTGTCAATTTCGAATTAAATGCAATTAATTGTAAAAATACTAGGGCCTTCATAAATTTTAAATATTTTACATTTAAATATTTTCTTTTCTATTTTTTTTTAATATCTCGAGTCACAAATTTGTTTAAATGTTTTATATTATATATTAATTTTTAAAATAAGAAATCTATGTGACAATTATTGACAATGATTTGATAATTATTTTCATCATCTGCCAAGATTCAATATTAAATTATATATTAATTTAATAATTTTGTGTATGAATCCATTTGTCATACGAAATAGATTTAAAATTAAAACATTTAAATGTTATTTCTGTTTTCATATTCATTCATACAACTTACAAAGATATCCTAATATTTCAACAAGTTAAAGCTAAGTTATTAACAAATAGCATATTTTTATATTGAATGCACGACTTCGCACGTGCATTAATATTTACCATGTGCTAGGGTGTGTGTTGTGTACGTGTGTGCACAATCGCACACGTGTATGTGCGCGTGTACCACATATAAACGCTAACAAATAGTCACTCGAGCGTCGCATAAACGACGGGACACGAAGTGTTATGGTTTAAACTTAACCAAGGGTATGTTCTTCGATTGCAAACACTTATCACACACCCATTCCGCGTAGACCTCAGCCGTTAATAATTGATAAGCGTATTCCGACAATCCTGTGCAGCCCCTAAAATAAATATTTTTTTTTATAAAACGCTAGTTTTATATTATTTTATATTATTTTACAGATCGTTATTTTATCGACTCACCTATGAAACCAAAAATTACAACCCGATTCGCACAGAATTGCCTGATCATTGTCATGCACTTCCTTGTGACAAACTCCACAAGGATAAATCGGTGGTGCATTAGGATTTTGTGGGTTAAATACCATGGACTGATCTGGAGGATATATCTGTAAAAAAATCAATAAATTGCAAATAAATTCATGTAACAACAAGATAGATAGGTTGATCGGCAGACAGGGTAATAATAAATAATTTTTCCTTCATTTCCTTAAATATATATAAATTCAAGGTAAATGCTTTATATTGCAAACTGTATCGTTAAATATCGAACTTGCAACGTAGCTCAAAACAATACCTGGATTCATTTCTTAATAAATCAATGATCAATTTTGATAACTGATTAATCCGCCACTTAACAGAATTTTTATTGCAAAAAATATTACCCTAGCTAGGAATCGAAATTACTAAATTACTCATTTTCCGTACGAATGTCTTAACCATTCGACTACTGAAGTATGTGATAATATTTATCGCAATAAATTCATGTGGTTTGTAATATAGTTATTAAATATAATTAAATATAGTTATAAGAATTAATATAATTATATTAATTTTAATACAATCTGCTAATAAAAAATGAACTTACTTTGCCCGCAGAAATCGGCATTGGCTTTGGACCCATTCCCGGCGGACCTTGAAACCCATGTGGTGGCATAGATCCTCCCATGGAATTAATAGGATGTCCTATAGGTGGTCCACCACCCATATTATTAGACATAGTACCCATTGGACCTGCCATATGACTTCCCATTTGATTATGATGACTAATATTCATATTAGACATACTACTCATTCCTGGAGCACCCATATTCATGTTGTTAATCTGATTTGGTCCAGTCATATTCATGTTATTCGATACCATCGAACTCATGGTGGTCATAGGTCCATTCATAGGTCTTCCTAAGTTGTTAAGATTGTTTCCCATGTGATTCGGATGAGGTTGAGATCCATTGTGTCCTAACGGACTATTAACGTTGTTTAGCGATGGTCCATTTAACGGACTGTTGGGCGGTATATGGCTATTTATATTATTCATATTCATTGGTCCATTAGGCATATGATTAGACCCTCCCATGTTCATTGGAGAACCTAAAGGTCCACCCATAGGACTACCCATATTATGACCCATGTTGTTCATTGGACTACCCATAGGTCCACTATTCATATTATTCATCGGACTACCCATGGGTGGACCACTTAGTTGCGAATTCCCCATATGACTCATATTCATATGATTGTTCATAGTGTTCATTGGACCAGGAGGCATATTCGGACCCATGTTATTCATAGGGCTCATACCTCCGATGGAAGCATGATTCATGGGAGACATGGCACCCATATGGTTCATATGATTTGTCATAGGTGAATTACCCATAGGACTCATGTTGCCCATATTATGTGGCATCATAGGACTCATACCACCTATCGAAGTTAACGGACTCATGCCTCGCATAGGAGGACCGCCCATATGATGTGGATGATGAGGATGCATATGTGAAGGTGCGCCATGCATCATTGGGCTTTGTGTAGTTTGTGGTGGAGTATCATCGAAAGGATTACTTGCCACTATCGTGTCACCGTAACCAGTTAAAGGTGGGGGTAGTAGGTCCTAAAGTAAAATATTAAATCAATATTAAAACAATAATATATGGTACTAATATATAACGCAAATATAACAAAGTCAAGTTGAAATACCTGTACAGATGGAGGTTGTTGCGGAGGTGGTTGGGCAACGCTTGCATTTGTACGCCTTTTCTTTTTAGGATTTGCACCAGCTGGTGGTGGCGGTGGTGGATGGGGATGAGCAGAAGAGTCAGGATGTGGGGCGTTTGGACCCATATTCACACCCATTCCCATACCCCCCAGTGGCATCCTTGTAAAGGGTGGCATGCCCGCAATATTGTGGCTCATCTCCTTCGCTTCCCTTATTTTATCATGCCAGCACCACTGGATTTTCGTGGCAAGTAATTGTTTTTGACTCACTGTTAAGAAACAAACAAAAAAGGCTTTGTTAATACAGATAAATTTTAAAAGTACTTAACTTTTAATTGTATTTTAAAATTACTTAATATTTCATTAATTTTACTTTTAGAAATACATATGTATATTATCAATCATAGATATTTGCTGATTGATTTTAGCAGATAATAGCTAATTTAAATCTGTTCAAATACATTAAGAAAAGTTTTATATCCACAACTGTATGCATTGATATATATAATGATCTATATACAATGATTGACTGAAATAAAATATATCAGTTCTTTATCATTTTCTCCTTATCTCATTCAATGAGACAAGGAAATATTTTATTGGAGGCAAAGGAAATATTTTATATACAAGACCTAAACTAATAATAACCAAATTAATAAGTAATAATAGATAAATGTTTAACAATTTTATTTTGTTATTAAATCAAATTATTATTAAGTCAAAGTTCGAATAAATAAGAAGTAATAATATAGACAAATATAATCATGATATATATTACTTATACACATACATACATATTATATATCATTATATATATTTATGTATATTTATGTATATAGATTATAACTTTTCTACTCTTACATAAGCGTAAAAAATTGCATTATGTATTTCATATATTTTCTTTATTTGAATTAGAAGTAGAGCAAGATATTTTTACAGCAAATATCTTTATATGTCCTTCAATCTTGACAATGCGAGAAATTGAATGAACGTTATCGTGTAGATACCGTCTGCAAGAAACTGATTAACATCCACTCAATACAAATCGACTTTAGTCTAAGATAATGTTTGATATTTAATTTACTATTTTTTTCTGATTCTTAGAGTCAAGAAAAGATACAGAGTAAATTAAACCGAGATTAACGTTAATCTACATTGACTAAAATGGGTAATAATTACCATCTCTATGACATATGAACAAATTTTAATTGAAAGAGCTACATTCCGTTTTTATATTCGCGGTGTCGTGGTCACAAATTGACAGGAAATTCAATTAACTAGCCACCGAACTAGCCTGGTATGTACAGGGGGGAGGGGGATACGATACAGTCATGAGGAACGATAGCGAAACATCCGTATCGCGTTGTTGTTCCATTAAAATTACTCTCGGAACTTATCATTTATAAACACGCTGGCGCGCAAGAGAGCGCGCGTACGCACGTAAATGTGCATACACAGGCACGCACACAGCACAACACTATACCACATCACACACCCATACGATGCATGAAACCTCGGGATCTCCGTACGCATATCTATACATCGTAGCATACCGCCTATATTTACATATACCGATATAAATAACGAAATTACTACCGTTACCTCGGGTGGTGTGCGCCAGCGATTCGTCCATTCGTCCGTCACGAAATGAGGAGACAGAGGATCGAGAAAACGAGATAAAAAGAGAGAAAGAGAGAAAGAGAAACACACACACCAAATATACACACACATGTACACGCGCCATCATACACCAATATACATACGCACGGAGCACGGAGAAAGAGAAGGAGAAAGTGAGAGAAGCGCCTTTGCGACACGATCGTACCTTCAAGACGGCGATAAGAGAGGCTCGCGATACAACAAAACGGAATGAAGACCCCCGTCGCGCGGCGGGCACGAAAAACGAGCACCACAAACTGCACCTTACAGTCTCTCGCAGATAACCTAACCTAACCACGGATCTCGCCGTCGAGGTATAGTGTGCCTCCGTAATGAGGCGCCTTCAGCGGGTTGACCACACGGCCGTGTGTACGCGCGGCGGCAGCTTAGCGCAGCGTAAGCGAAAACGTTCACGCAGCGCGGCGCGTAAGATAGGCCCGATGTGGGTGGAATCGCGCGCCGAGCGATTTAAAAAGCCGGCCGGGACTCCGCGGACTTGCGATGCGATGCGTCGCGCGATCGGCGTCGCCTAGACTCACCAGCGCATTATAGCGGACGCGACGACGCGATTGGATGCATCGCGGCACGGCCGGTTCTTCGCCGGACTAACGCCGGCATCCTAGATCGACGTGACGCGCCGAATCGCCGTCTAGCCGCCGCCGCCGCCACTGCTGGCTGTTATTGCTGCCACCGTCGTTGCTCCTGTTGCTGTTGCTGCTGCGCTGCCGCCGCTGCTGCTCCTGGCCTCAGCGAGACGGATGATATATCTGTACGCGATTCCGACTCGCGCCTCGCGCACAACGCATCTCTCGATGGCGCGAACGAGCCGCGCATTCACGGACGCGCGTGTACAACCGCGATAAACGCAATCTCACGCTCTCGACGTCGCGGGGCTACGGCCAACGGAGCGGGATATCGCAAACGCCACACAAACCTTCTCAGGTCGCCATTGTCGCGTTACGCGTGTCCCTCGGACTCCCCCCGCGCCACTGTTGTCGCCTTTTTGTGACTAGGTATCGACACGTTTGTCCGCCAGATAGCGATACTGGTCGCATCTTCCGACGCAGCACTCGATGCGCGAAGAACACCGAATGAGAGACGCGATTAAGTTCCTCCGACCGACAATAAACGGCAATTATCAGATCCCGTGTTGATCCGCGATCGGTGAGGAAACTTGTCGCGGAATTCCGACGATTCTCGCTTTTTAGTTAAAATTCATTCAGATATTCAGATCCGTTTTCATTTTTCAATATTTCGAATTTTCTATTTTCCAAATTTAAATCAAGGATTTGTTTTCAGTCGATTCAGTTTCAAACTATTAGAAAACATAGTATTTTATTTTATACTATGCAAGAAAATTTCATAATGCGCAGATTCCTAAAGACACAAGTCCACGATGCTAGAAATCGATTCGAGATCTCGGACAGAGAAAAAATTGACCAATTATATTGATCATTTGGTGGAAATAGTCACTACAATTGGTCAATTTTTTCTCTGTCCGAGATCTCGGATCGATTTCTAGCATCGTGGACACAAGGTTTAACAGTCATAAATTTGGAAACAAGTAAGAACAAAGCTTTAAAATTTTCCTATACTTTCTCGAAGAAAATACCATATATATAATGTGCATTTTAAATATGGAGGTATATGTTGTGATATTCTCCGAATATTCTCAATTCTCAAAGTTTATAAATATATTTATTTATAAATATTAGAAACATCACGATTTTAAATTACACATAATTTTATACAATACAATTTAAAATTTTTATGAATAAATAAAGGAAATTAAAAAAGGATAATATCTTGAACTAATTATTATATTCAACATTAGAAAATAAATTATATGTATTTAATAACATAAATTACATTTATATTGAAAATAAATATGTATTTGAATTATGTGAGATGAGAATAATTTTCATTTCTATATAAATATTTAATATTGAATATTTCATTAGATATCACTGCGATTTAAGCTGTACTTAAATTAAATATCGCATATCGGCATTTCTACCTGCCAATCTTACATGAGAGTGTTATGATTTCGCAGTACATTTTTCACATCTTCAGAATACTCATCTTAAGAGCAACTTAAGAGCGAACATGAAAAATTTATTTCATTTTGAATACGAATATAAATATTTATATTGCATAATAAATAATATTATATTTAAAGTGCGCATTTGAATGACTTTTGTTCGAGAAATAAGGTCTCATATTTTCTCTTCAATAATACATATAATATTAGATTCAACGTATAAAATTTTATCTTATAGCAAGAAATCAAATTAAATTATCTTGCGGTCTATGTTAAATTTTAACATAATAATATGGTTTCATAAGAGCAATTAAACATGCAGATTCTGCACGAAAGAATATTCCATAAGAGAGAGAGACTGAATAAAGATTCAGATTTTAAACAAATTGTCGAATTTCAAATTGCACGAGGTCCGCACAAAGTCTGTAAAATCATGTTCGTTCGTGTTACGTGTGATGTACGCATGTCGTGCATGATTGACGTAGATGCGTAAAATTCACGCGGTGACACTCTGCACAGCGGCTCTTTCGTCCGCATCCTCAAGCTCAAAGTTGTCTCGCGATCCCGGAACGCGATGTAGATGCACGCACGCACCGCTTTAATTATTTAATTTACATCAGCGAGTTAACTCGGCTTAACAACTGGAAAACAGCTCTCGCGGGTATCCACTTCGGACATTTGCCCGTAGCGCCTAGCTTACTTTACCTGCTTGTGTACGCAACGTGCACATAGTTCCCGGAATTGTAATCACCACCAACTCTTAGCTCTCTTATTTCAACACTATTTTCACCGAACAAGTTTATCGTAATTATGGAGCACGCGATCAAAATGATTGCTCCCAAAGGTGCGATGTGTAAGAAAGAAATTTTTTCAATATTTAAGGCTCGGTTGTCTCTCTGCAGCCATATTGAATTTTGACGTCAGAGACGGAAATGACGTAAAA